GGTGCATTTCATCGAATGGGGTTGTGGTTTAGTGGTATAACGTTCGCTTAGCATGCAATCGCATGCGAAAGGTTCCGCGGTTCGATTCCCCGCAACTCCAGTCTTTTTGCACCTTTTCTGTTGTACAAATTGTGTTTTTTTTTTGTTGCTGGACGGTTGGAAGAGATCCCGCTATCATGTATGACTGCAAGGTTTTGTTGTTGCTTATGCGCATATGAAGGCGGAGACTGCTAAGTGAACGAGAATCACCACTACATTTTGGACCATTCCCGGGATAATAACCTGGCTACCGATGGGTATCCCAAGCTGTAGGATGGGTGGAATTGGATTATGTAGTTACTCCCTCTTTCATAAAAGCCCAATCCAAGTTGTTCGGTTGGTTATATTGTTGGTGTTCAAATGCATCAATACCCGACAGCTGACTGCGTTCTATACGTACGTACATTGAATGTGACGATGGCATCATTAATCCCCATGTACCCACGGAGTATATGGCGGTTCATTCCACGCGGAATGATCGTCTAAGAGAGAGACGAAAAATTAAAAAGTTGATGGAGTCGCGGGGAATCGAACCCCGGACCTTTCGCATGCGATTGCATGCTAAGCGAACGTTATACCACTAAACCACGACCCCATTGCATGTTTTCTCAGCACATATTATGCTATACGAGCCAAGAATAGTAGGCAACAGCATTCACACGAGAATGATCCTGTGACAATGTAAACTATGCACTGCGCTCCCACCGGGGAAAGTCCAGGCCAACTCCCGCATGTCCCCATATGCTGCTGCGGATCAGCCGCGGCCCTTTATGTTTATCCTCATCCTATGGTTTTTGCCGGTAGCCTAGCGCAGCACGTCCAATCGCTTGGAATGTACCGATACTGCAGCTGGTTGTGCCATTGTCAGCAAGTGGGGTATCAGTACCTAGGCAGTCGAGTTTATAACACCAATAGGCCGCAGACCCTGCACCTGGGACCAAATCTTGCGGAAAGCTTGGTGTCATTGATGGAGCCAGTAGTTAACTAGAGACATAGGTGCGCTTTAAGATCCGAAAGGGCTTCGTGGCCACGGCATCCGAGGGCCGAATACTGAACGCTATACCTTCGTGTATGCAGGATGTCAAACAAGGGTTCACTCGGGCTGTGAGGCGCATGGGGACCACCCGATACTACCTAGGCTCCGAGGAACTATCCTACGGAGGAGCCAGTAAGAAGGGCCAAGACGCAGGGTCTTTCTAGTCCAGGCAATTTTAGCCTTCCATTGATCTTGCAACAAATACTATTCTATAGTATGAGCAAATTATCGGGCCCTGGACGATGAAACCCTCTGCTAATAATAAGCTCTTTTGACCGAGACCATTTGCCATTTCTACCAGGGGGTTGCATGCCGCCGTGCTTGACGTGGCCCTTGGTCTTATTATATTCGAGACCTCCAGGCGTCCGTCCCTGATATTTGCAACTCATCTCGCACCATGCCAGGAACCCCAATGAAAACTTCATAACAAAGGCATGCTTCCTCTTTCTTTCTTTCTTTCTCTCTTTCTTCTTTCTCTACATCCATGATGCTAACGTGACACCAGACCATGCCACTCGCAGGAAGCCCAACAAAGCAATATGATCCTGCCATCTCAACAGCAAACAAGACCCGAAACTGACTACGAGCGGTGGCTTTGTGACCAAGACAGTGCCTGCATTCCAAATACAAATCCTCAATATCACCCGCCTACCGCACACATCGACCAGGCGACACACAATGCCCAGCGACCTTTATCTGATCCGATTGAAGAGGTTCATCTGAACAAGGACCGTCCTCATGGCCGCTTTCTTGCCCCACCGAATATGCAGCCTTCCATCTCAAAGGGATTCGTCACCTATATGCTCAACCCGCCGCCTCAAATCCACCGCAGAGCAACACCAGCATGCCAGCTCTCGCTCACCTTTGTTGCAGTCGTCGTTATCATCAAGGCCATTAGGATTATCAAGAAGAGGGGGAAAAGTCGCAGGACAGTACTGCCAGTGACAGAAGAGCCTTTTGTATATGATCCTAGGTAGCTACGAATGAGTATGTCGAGCAAGAATTCATGGGATTGTACAGCGGCAATCGCGCCGGAGCCAAGATAAAATTTAATTACACGACCAAATAGTTCCCATACAAGACAGGAAACCAAAAAGCCACCCATCAATCGCCTGTAAGAGCAGGACTAGGTAAAAAAAAAAAAAAAAAAAAAAAAAAACAAAAAGCACTGGAGTCGCGGGGAATCGAACCCCGGACCTTTCGCATGCGATTGCATGCTAAGCGAACGTTATACCACTAAACCACGACCCCATTTGTTGAGATAGCCGCGACCAAATACACATCAGATTCCTGGGTTACTTTCAGTCAAACCTCTGCTGGATAATTGTGGAAAATAGTTGGTCGTCTTTTCTATAATTCTATTTTCGTTGCCAAATTATTATATCCTGGACTCGTTGGATTACCAATGCCTTCTAATTCCTGTCCTTGACTTGCTCATGGGTGTTCAACTGGCGATCATATTTTCTAGGCAATGGCAGATATATATATACATCCACACTGGGACCGAAGGTGGATCAGCGAGTACCATCCAATGAGGGTATTTATGCTGCATGAGACAAGTATACACTCCTCCACACAAACACGGTGCCTACTTAGCCTATATGACATGCTGTTCACACCCAGGCATGCAATGGCTGTGTTCGCTACCACTAGGTGGTGTCCCATGCATGGTGAGGGACACGTACCGTTGCCTTCTAATTCGCAAGTTCTTTCCCCCCCAGCGCATACTACAGTGAGTGGGTATAATCGATCAGTCTACGGTTGTTCCGAGCCGCATCTAAAGGCACTGAGAGAAGAGAACACCACAGATGAAGAGATGGCAGCGAAAAACTGGAGTTTTACTATCTGAAAGTGCCCTAAGCTGACCCGGGAGACACTGCTCCAAGATGGAAAGCGGACCGAATGGAAGTATCCATCGTATAGTCACCACAACACCGAGGGAGGTCTTGTAGGAGATGAAGGTAAGACTGCTAAGCGATGGCTGGCTGAGAGTAATAAGCTTGTTTTGTCGATCCCCCACCAAGCGAAGCCTTGCATTGGTATAAAAATGATTATTTGCTAATGTCAGATGGTAAAATCGAGCAGCTTTAGCAGCGGTATGGTGTTGCCCGATGCAGGTGCTTCGGCTCCAGCTGTATCATAGAGTAGAGTGATACTGTATGAAGTGGTCTGTGGACAGTTAAAAACTCAGTTGGTTGCTGCAGGTCGCCAATAGTGTCTAACTGAAGGTTATGCGCAAGGCACGGAACATGAGCTGCAGTTTCACTCTATCTAGTGAAGAGACAGACACGATGTGATGTGACACACAGTAAGGTGCCATGCCAATGTTTTACCTACTCTTATTTATTGAGAGACAACCATACGCCGTGCATTTGTTAATCGCTACTGATTCTCATTCTCAACTACTCAGAGATACTGGAGTATGAACCAAGGCAGCAAGGCAGGAACACATTCCCACGGGGTAATTTCCACACAACCGTCCCTCGTTCAAGTTAATGAGATGTCTCAGGGCAACGGTCGGGTCAGATCCTGGGGAGTCGATCTAGCAGGCCGACAATTTATCCCGAGTAGGACGACCGCGGTCGATACTGCAATAAATCGCAATAAATTGACCGTCCCTTCCGTATGATACGTGTTGGACCGGCGGAGTAGAGTTATCTCGCCTGAGGATAGACAGACAGCCCGAGTCATGCAGGGTGAAGATACCAGAGAGAGGACACGCGTGATGACATACCAGCGAGGAGATCTTGCTTGAAGAACCCCGTGGAGGTCCAATTTCTCGGTTTCAGACAGAGTCTAATTAACTGATTTTGTGTCTCGTTGGCCGACGTTAGTGGAACGTCTTGATGGAGTGATGGAGTGCATGGTGGAGGAGGTGAGGTCCACCGCCAGCTCCCACAAATGGCGTACATGACGCATGACAGAAGGCTCCAGCAAGGCCCATGAGCTCGTTGGAGCCATTATTAGGATGGCCGAGTCGCGTCCAAACGGCTGTTTTCTCCCTGCCGATCGTGGCACGCTACGCGGTAAGGGCTGGTACAGCAGGGATCGTCCGTGTCCGCTTGGCGATATAGTTCTTCCCCCGAAACCAATAGATTGCATGGGTCCCGATCGCGAACATGCCGATCGGGGGGCTGGTGGGGGTTCAACGGAGTCTTTAGGTCGCCCTCAGACTGTAGGAGACTGTTCTCTGTTGTAAGTCAGGGAATCCTTGAGAGGAGAGCCCAGGTGGAGGTGAACATAACATCCCTCCCTCCCTGCCACAAAACGGGGGTCTTCACGTTCTCAGCTTCTCTTTAAAGGGCCGCCATTCCAGGGAAAATCGGGTCTCTAATTATATTTGAGGCGGTGCCCCGTTTGAGTTCCCTGAACACCTGCACAGCGCCTCTCATAATGTCGGGACCGTCATGTCTGTCGAGCGCTGCAACGATATGCATCGGCGCATTGCTGGCCCTCAATGCCCACGCGAGCCCAACGTTAAAACGCAGTGTAATCCATGATTGGAACGAGGTAGGCGCATTCAGTTTATGCTTCTCCCGTCGCCGTCGCGGTTACTTCTCCCTTACCTGCAGTGCTTATGTTAATTTCTCTGCGCCAGATTACACCGTCTTCCAGCATCAGTTGGACACCCTGTTTCGACCAATATACCTGCGCAAAGCTCGAAGTTCCGATAGATTATAATGATCCGTCAGTGGGGACGACATCGCTTGCTTTTATCAAACTCGCCGCAGAGAAAGACCCGGACACGGCACCGAACCTGGTCATTAACAATGGTCTGTACTTGTCGCGGTCGAGTTTAGTATGGAGCGAAAGCTGACTCGCAAATTGCAGGCGGACCGGGCCAGTCTGGGATTAGTTTCTTAATGAGATTCCCATCACAATTGCGAGAGGCGTTTGGAGCCCAATACAACCTAGTCTCCTTCGATCCGCGGGGGGTGAACAACAGCGGTCTCAGCGTGGATTGTTTTGCCGGCGATACAGCTGCGCGGAAGCAATTTAGCACACAATACTACGGTCTAGTCTCTGACGCCTCCCGAAATGCGAGGCAAACCGAATTCAACGCCGCCACGGCCTACGGAAAGGCCTGTAGCAGCGCACTAGCCACAAACACATCCGCCAAATACATCAGCACGCCGGCTGTCGCTAGAGACCTGCTCACCTATGCTGAAGCGGAGAGCAATGCACTGGGGAACCCTGAAGGGAAGGCCAAGTTGTGGCTGTATGCTATGAGCTATGGAACGGTGATTGGGACGACGTTCGCGTCCATGTTCCCCAATAACGTGGGCCGGCTGATCATGGATGGCGTGTTCGACGACGAAGACTACTACAATGGGAAATGGGAATCGCACGGTTACGACGCCGATATGGCTGTGGTGTCATTCTCGAAATTCTGCCATGAGGCAGGCCAGGATACGTGTGCGTTTTGGAGTCCATCCCCGCAGAAAATCATGGATCGTCTTGATGGAATGATGGACAAGTTGAGGGGAAACAAGCCAGAAGTATATGCCAACCTGGTGCATACACTGATGCTGTCGGTCTATGCGCCGCTCATGATGTTCCCAAACCTAGCTCAAAGTCTCGCAATGTTGGAAAAGGGCAACTCGAGCAGTATTGCTGCCAGTGGCTCGTTTTTGAACCTGGGGAGTGACTCACAAACGCTGATCCCATGCATCGACAGCTATGGACTGGCAAGGCTGGATGCTCTGAACCAATATGACGATTATGCTTCTTTGCTCATCGACCAGAGCAAATACATCGGTCCTGGCATGGTTGGACTCAACCCGAGGACATTGTGTCACAATCTGGATCTTGATCTACCGATAGGGTCGAGTTTCGCAGGTGAGTTCCCACTGTGACTGGTATAATGCAGCGGATATTGATCTTGATATACAGGCTCCTTACCACCCAGCAGTAAGAATACTGCCTTTCCGGTTCTTTTTATTAGCAACACGATTGATCCGATCACGCCACTCAGAGGGTAAGTTGCCCGTTTGAATATCATTCCATGTTGCTAATACTGATTGTACGAAGAGCACAAAAGATGCACCGTGCCTTTCCTCAGTCGTCTCTCCTGACGCAGGAGAACGTTGGCGTAAGTTTACCCTGGCCTATGAGTTTGATGTAGTTCTAACGTGATACCAGCACACTGTCATTGCGGGTGCGTCCGAGTGCTTCATCCAGAATGTGCAGAACTATCTCGCTGGTACTGTTCCTGCGGACTCCGTGCAATGCGACTGGGATCGAATTCCGTTTAAGGATCCTACCTTCATGTCTCCGATATAAATCCGGTATTATAGCTCATGCCACATCATATAATGACTTGCCCTTGGAGTCTCGGTTGGACTTGCATATTATCGGTATATTTTGGTATAGAGATGCAGCATAACTCGTGACTGGCCACCGAGAAGCTCCACTGTTCTAGGGAGTCCTGGGCTCGCCGGACGATAGAAGACGAGGTAGATCAAAACACCGTTATCTCTATCAAACACACCAAGGATATCCCAGTGGCAAGGCAAACACGAACTACTTACTAGTCACTCCGTAGCGTCGGTCGGTCTCCGCATTCTTGCCCCATCCGGGAAGATGTTATCGTCCTCCATGCAACATCACGCAGTCTCCACCGCCGCGTAACATGGTCTATGAGGTACCTAGTAGTACAGGGAACCTACGGAAGGTGTTTTCTGTGGTACTCGACCCCTCACGAGACAATCTCTCCTCCTTATGCATCTATACAATTCGCTATCTGCTCATGTGGTCCTAGCTGCGGCGTTGACATTCTATCCTGGGATAGACCAGCCTTAGACCATGAGGAGAAGCTCTTATCAGTGCCATGCATCTTAATCTTCCTCCGGCTGCAGATAAGAACCCTAAGCTCTCTTGCCCAATGCTTATAACGCTCAAAGCGCCATCATGCCGTTCGATGTCGCTTCTTCCCACGTCTAGTCATGGGCAGTACTTTGAGATACCATGGATTTGAATGAGAAACTACCTGAAAAGACATCGGCGCAGGTTTCTGCCGATGTGGAGGTCGAACAGGGTCGACTGGAAGAGACTACACAAGATATTGATAATGTCGAGGAGAAGGAGTATGACTATGATTCTGAACGCTCACCCTTCCCCGAGGGTCCGTACATGACCTCTTTTCTACACCTTCCTCACATCTAACGCTCTACAGTTCGAGCGGTCGTCCCGGAAAAGGATGACCCAAGTATGCCGGTCAACACCGTCCGGATGTGGCTTCTTGGGGTTGTCTTCACTATCCTCGGGTCTGGAATCAACCAGTTCTTCTCTCTGCGATATCCCTCCGTCCACATCGTTTCCCTAGTGGCCGAGTTGCTTGCCTACCCCTGTGGCGTCTTCCTGGCCAAAGTCCTCCCATTGACGACCATCCGCCTGGGTCCCTTGGGGACATTCTGTCTCAATCCCGACCGCCATTTCAACATCAAAGAGCACGCCGTGATCGTCATCATGAGCAATGTCTCCTTTGGATATGGCAGTGCCGACGCCACCAAAATCATCCAAGCCACCAGCCCCAAGTTCTACAACTTCGGCCTGTCGGCGGGCTTCTCCGTCCTGGTCGTCATTTGCGCCCAGCTGCTGGGCTTTGGCGTGGCCGGGCTCGCAGCGCCCTGGCTCGTCGAACCGGCCAGCATCATCTGGCCGCAGGTGCTCTCCAACTGCGCGATGCTGGAAACGCTGCACTCGCGCGCCAACTCGGTCGCCAACGGCTGGCGCATCTCCCGGCTGCGCTTCTTCCTCTACGTCACCGCCGGCGCCTTCATCTGGTACTTCTTCCCGGGGCTCATGTTCACCGCGCTGTCGTACTTCACCTGGGTGTGCTGGATCGCGCCGCGCAACGTCATCGTCAACCATCTCTTCGGCATGCAAACCGGTCTGGGCCTCAGCCCGATCACCTTCGACTGGAGCCAGATCGTCTACAACACCAACCCGCTGCTGTCCCCCTCCTGGGCGGCGCTGAACGTCTTCGCCGGCTTCGTCATCTTCTTCTGGGTCGTCGTCCCGGGCATCTACTACTCCAACACCTGGTTCACATCCTACCTTCCGCTGATGACGTCCGATGTGTACGACCGCACAGGGCAGGTCTACGACTCGCGGCGGGTGGTCGGCGCCGACAAATCCCTCGACGTCGACGCCTACCGCAGCTACTCGCCGCCGTACCTGCCCGCGACCTTCGCCTTCGTCTACGGGCTCTCGTTCGCCTCCATCACCGCCGTGCTCTCGCACATCGGCCTCTGGCACGGGCGCGACGTCTGGGCCGCGCTGAAGGGCCGTAACAAGCTCGACGTGCACGCCCGCCTCATGCGCGCCTACCCCAAGACGCCCTGGTACTGGTACGCCGCCATCATCGTCGCCATCATGGCCGTCGCCATCGCCGTCGTCGAGGTCTACGACACCCAACTCCCCGTCTACGGCGTGTTCCTGGCCCTCTTCATCCCGGCCCTGTACATGATCCCCTGCGGCATCGTCGAGGGCATCACCAACGTCAACGCCAACCAGATCAACGTGCTGAGCGAGTTCATCGGCGGCTACATGTTCGAAGGCAAGCCGCTGGCCAACATGCTCTTCAAGATCCTCAGCAGCGACGTCGTCGGCCAGGGTGTCTACTTCGCCATGGATATGAAGCTCGCCCACTACCTCAAGGTGCCCCCGCGCACCCTC